ATGACCGTTGAAAGTGCATCTAAGAATCACTTGTTTCAAGAAGTTGGCAGGCATAGTGATGACTAGGTGGCAGAAACTAACTTCTTAACATATGAAATAGACAGTCGCTATATTGTGATTGTTTAAACACAGTGTTATTCTCACCCCTTCAATTCAGTCAAAGTTTTCCTAGAAGCCACATTTTGCCTTACACCTCTCTACTGGTTCGACGACATTTGCTAGCCATTTAGAAGTCGTTTGATGCTGACAGCTGGTTATATCTACCGTATGTTGTGGTGGAAATTCGTTCAGTAGACTTCAGGTAATCCATGTAACCTGTCCATGATTGGACGGTGTGGTCTAGTTTGTCCACTGAGCCCTTCTTCATTTTGTTCAGAATTTGCGACGGGAGATTTGCTTTTCCTTCTGCTGTATCTATATGGTAGTGTGGTTATTGGAACTTTGTCTCACAGGATATGTGATGATTTGTTGATAAATCCTGGTGAATAAATTACAGTGACTCCTGAACTAAGGTCATGTCTGTTTTCCCCTCTATGCAGTTCCCTGAGTTGCCTGTTACCCTTTTTCAACAAGATCAATCGATGACTGAATCAGGTGTTCACATACTGATAGCAGCTGTTCATTATGCTGGCTTTAAATTTCTGAAGATCTTTTATTGAGTTCTGTATCCAAAAAATATCTATCTAGTGAGGTTCTCAAAATCGACACTTATTCATAGGTCATCGATGTCGGATGAATTATGACAGAATTCGCAATCGAATGCGATGACTTGCGGTTGAATTGGAGTAAGCGGCACACTGGAGTAATTAAAGACGTATTTTGAAAGCCTCTGAAGAAGTGCTGACTGACTTTCACTTAACCCCAGACTTTGTATATGTTTTGAATTGCTAATTTTCACGATTTCAGGAATTACATAGGGAGATGAGATGACGTGTGCAAGCTGAGTTTGTTACCACATCTGTCTAGGACCATTTCAAGAGGTCATTATCACCAGAAAATATCAGGCTATCAGGAACTGAATATAGGAAATACTGAGCTCAGTAAAAATACCCAAATCACTAACACCGTCTAAGCACTTTTGTCTGATCATAGAGTGTCAGTAGCAACAGACAGCTGTCCATATTTGATATCATCGCATCACATGATCGACCCTATCTTGTAATCCTGAATCTGTGTAGTGTGAAATGACCTATCTCAGTGTGGTCTTGTTTGTCAGAGGAAGACACTGTCGTTTCAGAGCGAGACACTGACTTTCACATACCTCTTTTGCAACTGTTCTTGTCAACTATTCGCCAGTTGACATTACCTGTGATGGTATAGTGGGAATTTTTTATGCCAATATACTGGATTTACTGAACGGACATACTTCATAACCTGCCTTTTCTGGAGTTTCTTTGATCGTTACCTTATAGGACTCGGTGCCTCGATTCTGCATGCACAGTAACTCGCATGTGGTTGGACATTGTTGGACACTGAACGTGAGGATTTCAAATTGAAGAGTTATAACAATTTGTTCCGGAATGCCAAATTACAGGTGTTGTCCTTTTGATTTGCTCTGGGTGTTAACAAAGTGTCAAGAGGAATCACTGAATGTTAGACTTCATCTTAAAGGGCTGTTGCACTCACACCACGAAGGTTAACTTTTTAAAAAGCATATCTCAATTAGACATCCAAATGGTGTTAAATACAACACTGATGTTTTCAAATGGTGACTCTTCTCAACATTTATTGGCAGACAAATTTAAAAAGAATCATTACACAACTGTATATATGTCTGATGACGCAGAAGTTATAAAATGCTAATTTATCTTTTAGTGGGTGGAAAATGTGTAAATACATTAACTAGTCAGTAAGTGTCAGAGTATAATATGATTTTCCATTCACCTTATGTGTGATTTCATAGTTATGGTGACATAGATTATAATGCAGGACTGTTGGTGAGCCAGTAGAATATATATATCAATGAAATGTTGGCGATAACTTTATGGTCATGATTCTGAATTCCATCTCATTATCTAACAATGAAACATTGTAATGGAAATACATCATTCACTTTTCAGTTTCGTTTTTTCACTCTGCTTGTCACTTCACTGTGAATTGCGTAAGTTACAAAAATTGAACCAATCAAATAAACTTATATGTGGGGTGGATACGTTTTAGTCCGTACAACCGAAATCAATTCTCCGTTGTTCTCACCTCAAAAGCGAATTCACTTTTCAGTACTAACCCAAATCCATCAAAGTATTTTCCTAATATTTATCACACATAAACAATAAATCTACTAATTTGCAGATCTTTATTCAAAGAAGGAGGACTTGAACAAACAAGTTTGCTTTTTATGGTGAAAACATCCTCGGCAGGACTACAGTAGCATACAAATACAATCAGTGTGCATGTTTATTGATAAGAGTATCTGTTCGTGCTAACTAATGATAACCAGAAGGTTGTGGTCAGTAAAATGATACTGGTAGGGAGATCACTCCAGAAACATGAAAGCATTTGCAACATTAATGAGCAGGCGTGAGGTGAAATCAAGAATCACAAAGTGAGTTGACAGTTTCCTGTCATTGAGGAAGGCAGTGAAAGATCAATAAATGAGCTAAGAGTGTCGAAATTATGACCGCATGAAAATGAAAAATGTTTGGACAGACTTAAGAAATGGAATGTTCAAAACTTGAGTAGTGAATAGAGACAGGAAATGACAGTGGAGCTTGTAGATGCACAATTCTGGTTTCAAGTTTGTATTACTCGAGTCTAAGCAATGTTAAGTAAACTGTTCCTCATATCCTTTAGAAGATTACATTGCACTTTGAATACTGCTGCAAATGAATCTTCTGGAACTGTGCTTCCTCTCCCAAAGAAATGTCGTATTATTACGGAGCTGCAGTTTTGTATACGCTGATGTTCACTGACTCGTGTTTGAGAGTATTGGCGTTGACCTTTGACAATCTGTTTCTGCATACGACCTGTGTACGTAACTCTGCAGGAGTAGGTGAATTCATATACGCATATGGAAGCAACTGGGAATGGCAGTTTGTTTTTGCACATCAGCTCACTATTCACCCACTAGTGCTGGTGGCTTGCAGAATGGTGACAGAGAATTTCCTCCTGACAGCCTTATTTATTCTGAGTTTAAGCACCTCATTTGCTGCTTTTCTATTGAATTTCAGCTTGAAAGTAGCTACTTATTCTGTACATTGATGGGTAGTTGATGTGTAGTATTGCTATGTAGATTGTTACCCATGAAACTCTCTGGTTGTCAGTTTCCAGTGAACATTATCATGAGGCGTTGAATTTTATCTCCAGAAGTGTCAATGGTATACATCTTTTGAATTTCTGAATAATGGGAATGAATCACCTTTTTCCTCCGGTTGGAACCCAGCTGCAAGGTTTTTTTAATTCTTTCATTCCAATATATATAATTTTTTTATAAATGGATCTCATAAGTGTCTCACCAACTCCGCCTTATAAAAATATATCGAAGAACGGCATATTCGAGTGTGATTTCTTCTCCATAGTGAGTTTGATCGCCGAACGACCTTCGCTGAAAAGCAGTAGTACATTCAAGAAGTCAAAGTTCTTGTCACAAACGATGAATGTATCATCAGTGTATCTTTCGTAGAAATGAAACTGCTTGTTGACTGAGTTGAGTTTAGTTGTTACCAGTCTGAAAATAAATATAGCTGTTATTCGTGCACCAGATGAAGACATTACTCTTAGAAACCTGTCTTCTGATGGGTTTTGAATGTAAGATCTGCATTTGGCAACTGAACGATAAGGTGATGTATTCAGGATTTAACTTGACGGCAATTCAGGTTTTTGAGTTCTTGGTACTACGTGTAGACGGATAATATTTATTCCCGAATATCTTAATCTTTCCTACAATTCATGATTGATGACTGAATAATTTTTTCTTCAGAACTACAGTCAGCTGACGCTAAGTTGTAACTGTTCAGTTGTTTTCTTTTAGCGGATTACAGAGTATGTTTCCATCTGAACGAATATAAGCCTGTTGGTTCATCAGTAGTATACTGGTACATCTGTCAGTCAGGATGAGTTTTTGTGATTTAGCTATTATGCTCCAGTACATTCAGTTGGTTGATAAGACCAACAGTTGCATGAAGAAACTATTTTGTTAGGGTTCAAGAATGTCTAACTGCTTCATCTGTAGACCGTCGACAGCACATCAAATATACTGACATTTTCTACCACAACATAATGTACACAAATTATGTGTAAATGCGTTTGTACATTTACTGAATATGTTACCGCCAGAAAAAAATTTCTCGCCTTACATCTATCTTGACTTATGAAACAGTGAGAACATTTTAGTCTTTCGATCTTATTATTTAAGTTAGTAGCACAAAGTATTATTTGGAACATTTTTTCAGGTGATCATATCTAGATCTAACCTACTCAAATAATTTTCATGTTGAAAAGCAGAAGATACTCTTACTGTTGTAAGCAGCACTTCTTTACTCAAAAACGAATATAACAGTACCGTGATTAATAACTAGATAGAAACCCATTTTATGCTGCTAAGTAGTGACTGGTGACCGGACCACATCAATTTTTTTGGTTTGTAGCCACAAAGCCGGAAGTTCACAGTTGTGGTGCATCTGATGGGTGTTAGTTGGCTGAAGGAAATCAGCCACATTGAGAAATGATCGACAGCATATAGTCAGCACTCAGGACTAGCCGACATGAAATTTACTGCTCTCCAGTGACCAGTTACTGTATTTAGCCAAACGAAGTTGACTCTAAAACTGGATGTCGTGGTGTCAAATCTCAGAGAAGATATCTGTCTCTTTGAGGTTGCTTATATGCTATGATGACAAGTGTGGAAAAGCAAGAAATCCAACCAGGTCGAGCAGGGCTTCTCCCCGATTCTTTTCAACCAACTAATAAAACATAATAGTGGAAAAAACATCTCGAATACAATGGTGTCAAAATGTAAGTAAAGTGACCTGAATACAATTGTCACAAGTCAACAAACTCGATTATGAATTAGAAATATAATTTTATTCTAAAAAAGATAATGAATACTCTATCTCGATATTATCAATGCACCTTATCCTTCGAAAAGTTAAATATGATCTTGAGAGCAATATAGTCTGGAATAATATGTAACATTAAAATCTGGATCCAGACGTTTCATTAGCATCTCTCTGACAACCTTACTCATTATGTAATATTCTGTACAGTCATATGCAATTGGCTCAAAGTCCTCGTGATACTTGTTTGCGAAAAATTCCATTCGTTGTGGTATTTGTAGAAGATTCGCTGCACCTATGATGCACACACCTCGTCGAGATCTCTTACTAATACAGCCTCTGTGAGCCCATGTGACATAACGTGCTACAAATGCTGTGCGTGGATCTGAATTATTGGTGTTAGGATATGCGAGACAGGCACCGGGTGCTCCAAGTTGTGGATTGTAAGCTAGTGTGGGAAAGAACAACTCATCAGGATGCTTGCACAAGTGTTCTTCTGCTTTCATTGCATTGAGGATTTCCTTGGCTTTCGAGTTGGTTTGGTAGAACTGGACAAACTCACGTTTTAGGGCCATGTAGAAACTCCCCTTGTTCCAGACCACCTTTGATGAGAAAAGAAAAGAAATAATGAGATAAGAGGATACACGGATGGGCCTTCTAGTAGCAACGCCGTTTAAATATGGGTTGGATAAAGAGGTGGATGTGAACAGAAACAAGTTGTAATTTGGACTGTCTCCAACTGTGAACTGAACAATTTGATGGTTTATTCAGAGCTTATCGTGTAAATCCATCAGTTTTTGTGGTGAACTTCTCTGCCACATTGAGATGTTCAGTTTAAGCGCTGTGTTAAGCCAGTGGGATTTGTGGATGAATATGAAAAATGGTGGTTGCATTTTATTTTCTGACATCTGTTATTTGGTTATTAGTGCAAAAATTCATGAATGTGAAGATCGGTGGGAAAACTGGAAATTGAACATCCACTACCCAATATTAGTGTTTCTTTGAAGAATATACATCTCATTCATTCAATAAAGGGTCGTCTATCATCCTCATTCCATACTCATAACAGTCATTGCAATTCTGACTCTGAGTAGCATAACATTGACACTCAGTATTCAATGTTAGCATCAGCAGAATGTGTAAGCAGTAAAGTGAACTGTAGACGACTCTATGACTTTTGAGTGAATGAAAGTGAGCTTTGGATATTCACTGTAAGATGGTTGTTCTTGTTTAATCTATTCAATAATGTGCGTATCAGCATGTATGTTTTGAAACTTCTAAATTTTGAAAATCTCTTTGTCAAAAAGTCTTTTCTTCGGTTAGACTAACGCTCCAGTTGCCATTGCATTTAATGTTCACTTTATATGAAGTTTTCAAAAAAGGATGTAAAAAAGTAGGATCATAGCTTAGACAGTTGCAGTTACTCATGGCAAAAGTGGTTCCTTATTTATGAGGATATTAAAAATGAAAGTGCAACTTAAAACGAGTATTTCATTTACGATAGTTCCCTCATAATATCGTTGCCTTTATCAATTCGGAAATGCCTTGTTAATATGATGGGGTTAGTTTTTGACAAAAGGTTAATACAATATTTGTGTCCATGAATATTTGGTATCCACTAATCTCCTTGAAATTCGGTATTCATTATTTCTAGGTTTTTATTCAGTTAGTTTGACATACATCTAGGAGGTTGAATGAAGAGATGTGTACTACCACAATGAAAGATGCTGTCGAGATTTGGTTATGAAATGTCATTAGAACTCTCAAGTTTTAATTTTCATGATTTCTTGTCAACCATTGTTTTTTATCTGCAAGGCTGTATGACAGCATCATGAAACAGAAGCTGTCTAAATAGTAAATTATGTATTCTGATATTATCTCCGGTTTTTTTCGACCCTTATAGCTCAGATTCTTTTAAAACGTTTCAATTATTCACTTGAGTATTGTGAACGAAGTGCTTTTTGATAGAAATTGCTCTCATGCTTTATCAATCTGACTACATCGAGAGTAAAATTCTTATCAGATGTGAATATTTACTACCGAATAAAAATTATTGTGAACTAATGGATGTTAAACATGTAAGGAGAGTAGGAATTCAGTCTTTCATGAAATATAATGGTAGTTGTCACGACATGCTTTCTTGAAATCACATTTATGCTTATTTTCTTCTATATTATTCAACGTAACATTAGATTTCAAGCATTATTTCTTGTCACCGACTTTACAGTAGGGTTGATAACTCTGTACCTAAATTTCACCATTTAGAACCAATTGTGTTTTTGAGTCTATTTTTTCACGCATATTATTTTCAAAACACATTACTGCCCAACATTAAATTTATATATATATATATATATATATATATATATATATATATATATATATAATGACATAATTATGAACTCTAATGTACTCATATAATCATTAAAAAAAGCGGTATAAAGAATACGCCCTAATATTTCAATCAGGACTTCGAAACTGAGCAGAAACCTCCTGTTTTCTGTCTTTCCCTAAGGTCCACTGCTAGGTATCTGTATACATCTCTTTGTGATAAGTGAATTGTTTTGATGATGCTGCAACTGGTTTAGTTTCTACCATGACGTCTTCAGTCATCCATCACCAAGTTGTAATAACATCGATCTGTTAAACCATATTTATATCGTGTTGCCCCATTAGTGGTTATAGCTACTATTTGATGGTGTAATTGCAGACTAGTATTGATTTCTATGGAAATTAAATTGAATTTTATTTCTGGTTCTTCATAGAGTTAAACAATTTATTATCTTTCTAGTTTTCCTGGATACATTAAAGTTTACCTGAACTTCAAAGATTTCCATCTTGTTTTGCAGAAAAAATAATATATTATCTCATGTAATAAATAGCAATTTGCTAAGTATATTAAAATTCGATTACCCAACAGAATGTTGAAGTGATACACATTTTGTTGTAAAATGGTGTGAATATGAAAATAGAAGATTTCAGTGAGTACTTCAGTATGGAATAGAAGTTTCAGCAATAATTCCAGTTATTATATGTAGTCAGCTTTGTTTCAGATTCTATCCAGTCAATAATAATGTAACACTATATACTATACCGAATAAGTGTATTCAACTTGGAATTAATTTTGTTTAAGTAAAACAAGTCTAACCGCTAAACAAACTTCAAAGCACAAACGATATATAAAAAATAATAACAAAATTATTCCTCCCTGGAATCGGAGAGGCGAAATGACGCCAGCTGGTGAAAGCCTTCGGGAAGCCAATTGGCCGATGTGTCTTCTCTCCCTCGGTGAAAGCGAAAATAAACGTGGGGACATGGAATATCCGTACAATGTTTGAACCCAGCAAGGGAGCCCAGATTGCAAAGGAGATGAGAAGGTATAACATCGAAGTGGTTGGAATTTGCGAAAGCAGATGGAGTGGGAGTAGACTCTCCAAACTGTCAACTGGAGAATCAATAATCTACTCCGGTCACCCAGAAGCCAACCACGAGCATACTGAGGGAGTGGCTATCATGATGTCCCCAACAGCATCGAAGGCTCTCATGCAGTGGGAACCAATCTCCTCCTGCTGGCTCATGACAGCAAGATTCAACTCAAAAGGAAGAAAGGTCACAATCATACAATGCTACGCTGTGCACCTACAAATAATGCAGAGCAAGAGAAAAAGGAGGATTTCTACAGACAACTTCAATCAACACTGGACAAGACGCCAGTTGGCGATATCAAAATTCTAATGCGTGGGGCGACATGAATGCCAAACTGGGAGGGGACAACACGGGAAGAGAACTAACCATGGGTCGAGAGGCACTAGGTGAAATGAATGAGAATGGAGAATTGTTTGCAGAATTCTGCGCATTCAACGATTTGGTGATTGGAGGCAGTGTGTTCAAGCACAAAGATATCCACAAAGCGACATGGACTTCACCAGATGGACACACTAAAAATCAAATCGACTTTATCTCAATCTCAAGAAAATGGAGACGCAGTCTACTTAACACAAGGTGAAGAAGAGGAGCAGATGTAGGTTCAGACCACTCACTATCTAAGGCAAGGAACCTTCCAAATCAAGTTAAAAGCCTTCAAGGAAGCTGGTGATAGACCTCAATTCAAGTACAACACTCGGAAACTGAAGGATGAAACTACAAAGGAGATATTCAAAGCAGCCTTCAAGACAAAATAGGAGACATCGAGGAAGATCTCTGAAGAAACCTGTGTGGAAGAACACTGGAAGTCTTTGAAAGCTATGTGGAAAGAAACCTGCACAACAGTATTAGCAAGGAAGAAGAAAGAGGATAAGGAATGGATCTCGACGGATACCTGGAAGCTGATAGAGGAGGAGAGGAGGATGGTGAAGCAGAAGATAAACCAGTGCAAGGATGCTCAACGACAAGAGGAACTGAGCACAATGTATAAAACACTACACTGGACAAAGAAGTGAAGAAGAGTGCACGCAAAGACAAAAGACACTTCTACGAAACACTGGCAAGTGAAGCAGAACAGGCTGCAGGTAAGAGAGACCTGGCGACATTGTATCAAATGACCAGGTTGCTATCTGGGAAGAGACCAACACAGATGAAACCAATAAAGATGAAGAAGGAAATTTAATTACAAAAGAAGAGAAACAGAGGAAACGATGGGCCGACCACTTCAAGAAGCTCTTGAATCGACCACCACCACCACCTGCACTTCGTCCAGAAATACCACCTGCAGCCGCTGAATTACAAGTGAACATTAATCCCCCAACGAAGATGGAAGTCCTGAACGCCATAAAGCTACTGAAATGTGGGAAAGCAGCAGGACCAGACGGCATCCCGCCAGAAGCACTGAGAACAGATGCAGAGACAACAGAGGTGGATATGCTCACACCACTATTGCAGAAGGTGTGGAAGGAAGAAAAGGTACCTGGCGATTGGAAGAAGGGTTACCTTGTCAAAATGCCGAAGAAAGGAGACCTCATTGTTTGCAAGAACTGGAGCGGAATCACTCTCCTGTCCACCCAAAGCAAGCAAAATATTAAGCCGCATCATCTTGGAGAGACTAAAGGATGCACTGGATTCAAAACTACGACCGGAACAGGCAGGCTGGATTCAGGAAGAACAAATCATGTGCAGACCAAATTGCAACGCTACACTACGCATCATCATACAACAGAGCACGGAATGGCAATCAGCTCTCTACCTCACCTCAACTTCATCGACTTTGAGAAGGCCTTTGACAGCGTCGACCGAGAGATAATTTGGAAACTGCTTCATTACTACGGAGTACCGCAAACCTTTATCACCCTCATTCAACAACTATATGAAGATGCCAAATGCCAGCCAAGTAATTCACGGTGGGAAGCTCAGTGATGCTTTTGAAGTGAAGTGAAGACAGGAATGAAACAAGGTTGCCTACTTTCTCCCATGATATTCCTGATTGTGGTCGACAGGCCTGGATCATGCAGCAAACAGTGGAGAGCTGTGAGAAGAGGGGGATGCGCTGGCTGGACTGCGGAAAAGAACCTAGAAGATCTGGATTTCGCCAGTGATGACTTGTGTCTGATGTCACACAAACTTCAAGACCTACAGGCGAAAACTAACAAGTTGACAGAAGAGGTGAGGC